GAGGCGGCGGTTCTGTGCAGTTCTGTGCGGTTATGTGCAGTACTGTGCGGTTCTGTGAGGTTCAATGCGGTGGAGAGGACTGGGTGGGGCAGCTGATTCCGGGTGAGGTGCCTGGAACGGGTGGGGCAGCAGGTTTCCAGGTGGGGCGGCGGTTGTCAGGTCTGGGGCGGTGGTTTTCAGGTGGGGAAGCTGTTAAGGCGGCGGTTCTGTGCGGTTCTGTGCAGTTATGTGCAGTTCTGTGCGGTTCAATGCGGTGGAGAGGACTGGGTGGGGCAGCTGATTCCGGGTGAGGTGCCTGGAACGGGTGGGGCAGCAGGTTTCCAGGTGGGGCGGCGGTTGTCAGGTCTGGGGCGGCGGTTTTCAGGTCTGGGGCGGCGGGTTTCCAAGTTCGGCGGCGGTTTTCAGGTCTGTAATGGCGGGTTTTCAGGTCTGGGGGGCGGTTAAGACGGTGGGCTGCACGTCCGCGCGGCCGCGACGTACTAGCGCGAAGCTGCGGGTGCGACTAAGGCTGCGCGCGCAGCTACGCGCGTTCGTCTGCTGCGCGCTAGAGGGCTGGGGGGAAACGCGCGGGGTAAAACGAGTGGGGCGCGGGGCAGAAAACGAGTGACGCACGGCAAAAACGGGTGGGGCGCAGGGCAGAAACGGGTGACGCGCGATGTCGACGGGGGGGCGCGACCTACTCGGGCTCTACGGGGCAGGGCGCTTCGGGCTATGGGTCGCTACGAGGCACGCGGGTGGTGGGCCCATAGACTATCGAGAGAAATTTCGCCTAAGGGAAAAAATCGCCTAGGGGAAAAATCGCCTAAGGGAAACCTAGCTCTATACCATGTTACGATAAGAATGAATTTATAGAAAATGTGAAGTACAACCCTAGATATAGCAAACCCTAATCATGCAAGTAAGTAGAAACGTAACACCTAGACTAACCTAAACAACACATATAAAATATATGTTGACAACCCCCTCCCCCCTCGAGGTCCTGCCCCCTCAGGTGTGTCTCAGGTAGACCCTGCCAAGCCGGTCGAGGTAGGTGTCGACTCAGGTGCTGCTAGAGGTGCTGAGCCTGCGGGTGCGGGGACTGGGGGTGCGGGGACAGGGGGTGCGGAGCCTATGGGTGCTGAGCCTGAGCGTGTGGAGTCTGGGGGTGCTGAGCCTGCGGGTGCGGAGCCTGGGGGTGCTGAGCCTAAGCGTGTGGAGTCTGGGGGTGCTGAGCCTGAGCATGTGGAGCCTGGGGGTGCTGAGCCTAGGGGTACTGCGTCTTGGGGTGCTGAGCCTGCGTGTGCTGAGTCTGGAGGTTCTCCGGGTGTCCCGTTGCAGCGGGAGCCCCTCTTTCCGCAGCGGCTTCGTGAGTGGTACACTCGACTCTGTCGCCGTGCTACTAGTGCTGCTGGTGCTGGAGCTGCTGGAGGTGCTGTTGGTGCTGGAGCTGCTGGAGGTGCTACTGGTGCTGCAGGCGTTGGCGCTGCAGGTACTCGTGCTGCTGGTGCTGGAGCTACTAAAGGTGCTGCTGGTGTTGGAGCTACTGGAGGTGCTGCTGGTGCTGGAGCTGCTGGAGGTGCTGCTAGTGCTGGTGCTGCTGGAGGTGCTGCTGGTGCTGGAGCTTCTGGAGCTGCTGGTCCTGGAGGTGCTCGTCCTGGAGGTACTGGAGCTGCGGGAGCTGGTGGTGTTGCAGGTGGTGGCGCTACAGGTACTGGAGCTGGTGGTGCTGCGGGAGCTGTTACTCGAGACCCTGGAGCTGAGGGTACTGGTGCTGTCTCTGCTGTTTCTGGGGGCGCTGCGCGGCCGCGGCCGTACTACGTTCCGCTCCTTCAGCAGGTTCTTGGTCCTACTCCTCCCTTACTGAGTCCACCGCCTGTCCAGTCACAGTCGCAGTTCCAGCCGGCCTCTCCACTGCCTGGTCCTTCTCCTTACTCTGGACCGACTAGAGGTCTTACGGAGCGTCGCGAGCCTGAGTCTCGTCCTGCGTCGCCTGAGTCTCGTCCTGCGTCACCTGAGTCTCGTTCTGAGTCGCCTGTCCGCACTATTCGCGCTGGTCGTCGTGTTTCGTGTCCGCATCCTCCTCTTGTCCCTGGCACTCACTCTATGACTATGCGTCCTTCCACTGCTCCACAGCGTGTCCCTCTGCCGTCTCCTCCTGCGTCCTCTCTTCCTGACGGTTCGGACCCGGAGTCAGACTCCCTTCGTGCTGCTAGTCCTACTGTCACGCGCTTTCTGGCCACTGCTGACACTTACCCTTTGTTTGAGTCCACTGCTACGTCTGCTCTCATTGCTGAGCTTGTTGTCTTCGCTGCAGCGTGTCGCCTAGACTACGCCACTAGTCTTGTTGCTGAGTCTGCGTCTGCGTCTGTCTGTCCTCCGTCCATCGGGGGTGAGTGTGCTCTTGGCACGGACGTTCTTGAGGACAGACAGGAGGTGTTTGAGTGCTTTGCCGCTGCTGTACCTCATCTCGTGTCCATGCTGCTTGCCCGTGAGGGAGACCCGGATGCACCAGACATCCCGACCCCACGCTCTTACGCAGAGGCGATAGAGGGTCCCTACTCCTCTCAGTGGCAGGCAGCCATGGACGCCGAGATGGCTTCCTGGAAGTCCACAGGCACCTACATCGACGAGGTTCCCCCGCCTGGGGCGAACATCGTCAGTGGCATGTGGATCTTCAGGGTGACGCGGCCGCCGGGTTCTCCGCCTGTCTTCAAGGCGCGTTACGTTGCTCGTGGCTTCAGTCAGCGACAGGGAGTTGACTTCTTCCAGACCTTCTTCCCTACCCCGAAGATGACCACTCTTCGGGTACTGCTGCACGTTGCCGCTCAGCATGACTACGAGTTCCACTCGCTTGACTTCAGCACAGCCTTCCTACAGGGCAGCCTGCACGAGGAGATCTGGCTGCGCCGCCCACCTGGCTTCACTGGGTCGTTTCCTCCTAGTACTTAGTGGAGCCTCCGGCGGCCAGTCTAGTGTCTCCGCCAGGCACCCCGTGAGTGGCACGACACACTCAAGACGACTCTTGCTGCTCTTGGTTTTGCTCCTTCCACTACTGACCCTTCTCTGTTTTTACGCACTGACACCACTCTGCCGCCGTTCTATGTTCTCATGTACGTAGACGACCTCGTCTTTGCTACTGCTGACACTGAGGCACTCACCCACGTGAAGTCCGAGCTGCAGAAGAGACACACGTGCACAGACCTGGGTGAGCTGACAAGCTATCTTGGCTTGCGGATCACCCAGGACAGATCACAGCGCACCATTACCTTGACTCAGTCACACATGGTGCACCAGGTCCTTCAGCGCTTCGGCTTCACGTACTCCTCGCCACAGTCCACTCCTCTGCCTACCGGTCACTCGCTCTCAGCTCCACCTTCGGACGAGTCCGTAGAGCCGAGTGGCCCGTATCCAGAGCTTGTGGGCTGCCTCATGTACCTGATGACTTGCACACGACCTGACCTCGCATACCCTCTCAGCCTTCTGGCTCGCTACGTGGCTCCCGGCAGGCACCGAAAGGTGCACTGGGATGCTGCGAAGAGGGTGTTGCGCTACTTGTGCAGTACATCGGGCATGGGGCTCGTGCTTGGAGGACGGGGTCTAGTTGTCCTCACTGGTCACGCTGACGCCTCCTGGGTTGACGACTTGGCTACGCAGCGGTCGTCACAGGGTTACACCTTCAGTCTTGGCTCCGGTTCTGTCTCTTGGCGGTCTACCCGCTCTTCTTCTGTTCTCAGCTCCAGTTGTGAGGCTGAGATCTACGCTGGGGCCATGGCTGCACAGGAGCTACGCTGGCTCACCTACCTGCTGACCGACTTGGGAGAGGCGCCTCGTTCTCCTCCAGTTCTGTACGTCGACAACAAGGCCATGCTGGCCTTGTGTCAGGAGCACAGACTGGAGCACAGAACGAAGCATATTGCTCTGCGCTACTTCCTTGCTCGAGAGTTGCAGCAGCGTGGCCAGCTTCATCTTGCTTACGTGGCCTCTCAGGCCAACACTACTGATGTTTTCACCAAGGCACTTCAGCCTTGTGATCATCAGCGTTTCTGTACTGTGTTAGGCCTTGTACCTACTGTGCCTCACTTGCTTACTTCTTGACTCTACTTGTGTTGTAATCTTTATACATATACCTGCATGCTTACACTTGCTAGGTTGTGTTCACTGTATTGTTTGTTCTCCTTTATATAACTCTGCATGTGAACTGGCCTTGTGGCCATTTGCTTGTGCTCAGACTGCGTGGTGACTTTGTGATCCACCCTGAGCTTGCTTTGCCTTTCTTGACTGGTCTTGTGACCTCTTGTTCTCCCCCACTTTGCCTATGGGGGTGTGTCAAACTTATATGCTATAGTCTGTTTAGGCTGTAGTGGGGTAGTTCTCATAGGGTACAACACTTTACGGTTTCCTACTTGTACCCACCTGCTTTCTAGTTCAGTCATTCATTCGTTTCAACTTCTGACAAATACTTGTGTGCGAAAAATGCAACGGTTATGCGGTGCGTGCGAGCTAGCTAGTGCTAGGCTGGCATTGAGGTTCGGGCTACCGTAATCTCCCGGATAGTAGACCCTAGGGTCTTATGTAAAACATAAAAATAAAGGGGGGGGTCTTGTCGACGGCACAAGATTGTATAGTAACCGGGTCTTATTAAAATGATATTATTTTTAAAGCTGTAATCGAATGCCTCATTGATGAGGATGCTTGACATTTTTTTCCCCTGTTGTTTGGGCTGCACATGTGTGGCTTATGCGATGTAGCTACATCACACGGGGAAATCAGATTGTGGCCTTCTCATTGGCCAAAATTGCACGTTACCACATTCCAGCCTTGCAATATGAGTTTCGTGGCTCGTCATCGTTCATCCCACCTTGACAGTCTGACACATGCACGGCTCGAGAACAGGGGCTGCACGATGGCCCCTAGAGCAACTGTCAATCCCACACACATCACAATCTTCCTCCGCCTGTTTCTTCATCGTCGCAGAGTGGTGCGCTTAGGGCACTAGCTAGAGGTGTAAGGTATCGTTCACGATGGTGACGTCTCCATATTCAGGGATGTCACACGCAAGGCGCCCTCGTCGCACTAATGCACATCGAGCATCACAAGGTAGAGTTTCACCCCGGCCCGTTTTGCCAACGACATCACCCTCCTCCAGCGATCCTAGTGACAGTTCCCATGGCGTCCGCCGACCGCCGCTTCCTAGAGTCGTGATCCCTACTTTTCCAGAGTCTAGTCGGCCACAAGGCATGAAATGAAGAATTCTAGATGCCACACCTGTTAGAATAGTATGAGCCATAGCTAGGGTGTGAGCTAGGCAAGTGTCGAGAGTAAAAAGTGAGAGAGGAAAAAGATGTTTCACAAAGAGAAGAAGGTACAAGATATAGGAGCGAGACATGGCAAAGGGTGCACCACATACAGGGACTATAATAGTAACTACACTACAGCTATAACTACATGCGGTTATACAACAATATATATAAAATATATTCTGACACACCCCCTAACTGCATGCAGGAATAGCCATGTGCAAAACACCCCCTGAAGGGGTACACCCTGCGCAGCGGAAGAAGGAGAGGGCAAATGAGGAGGAGGCGGCTGATGCTGCAGCTGGACTCACAGCACCCCCTCAACCTCCCCCCGCACAGCAGCAGCAGCAGCAGCAGTGAGGAGAGAGAGGAGGAGGCGTGGCGACATTTGCAGCAGTTGTGTCACCCACCACCCACATCCCCTGAGCCTCCCCACCACTTCACACTCCCCCCCACAGCAGCAGGTGCGGCTGGGAGAGAGAGGAGGCAGGCTGGTGCTGTAGGTGCAACCTCCCCCTCACACCCTCCCCTCCCCTCCCCTCCCCTCCCACCCAAACTGCTGCACGTGCAGCAGGGAGAGGGAGGAGAAGGGGGGGGGGGCGGGGTAGGGGCTGTGCATGGGACCGCAGATGCGCGTGCAGAGGGCAGCAGGGCGCACGGGGCGCACAGGGCAGCAGGGCAGAAGGGAGCACGGTGCGCGCAGGACAACAGGGTGCGCGTGGCATGCAGTGCTGCAGGGCGCGCGGGGCGCACAGGGCAGCAGGGCAGCAGGGCGCGCGGGGCGCGCATGACAGCAGGGCGCGCGTGGCGCGCAGGGCTGCAGGGCACGCGGGGCGCGCAGGGCAGCAGGACAGCAGGGCGCGCGGGGCGCGCAGGTAAGCAGGGCGCGCGGGGCGCGCAGGGCTGCAGGGCTCGCGGGGTGCACAGGGCAGCAGGGCAGCAGGGCGCACGGGGCGCACAGGGCTGCAGGACAGCAGGGCGCGCGGGGCGCACAGGGCTGCAGGGCGCGCAGGGCGCACAGGGCAGCAGGGCAGCAGGGCACGCGGGGCGCACAGGGCTGCAGGGAAGCAGGGCACGCGGGGCGAACAGGGCTGCAGGGCAGCAGGGCGCGCGGGGCGCACAGGTCTGCAGGGCGCGCGGGGCGCGCAGGGCTGCAGGGCGCGCGGGGCGCGCAGGGCTGCAGGGCAGCAGGACAGCAGGGCGCGCGGGGCGCGCAGGGCTGCAGGGCGCACGGGGCGCACAGGGCAGCAGGGCAGCAGGACACGCGGGGCGCGCAGGGCTGCAGGGCGCACGGGGCGCACAGGGCAGCAGGGCAGCAGGACACGCGGGGCGCACAGGGCTGGAGGGCAGCAGGGCGCGCGGGGCGAACAGGGCTGCAGGGCAGCAGGGCGCGCGGGGCGCACAGGGCTGCAGGGCGCGCAGGACAGCAGGGCGCGCGTAGCGCACAGGGCTGCAGGGCGCGCAGGGCAGCAGGACAGCAGGGCGCGCGGGGCGCACAGGGCTGCAGGGCGCGCGGGGCGCACAGGGCAGCAGGGCAGCAGGGCAGCAGGGCGCGCGGGGCGCACAGGGCTCCAGATCCCCTCCCCCCACTGCTGCACCCGCAGCAGAGGGACGGAGGAGAGGGGGGGGGGGGGGGGGGGGGGGGGGGGGGGGGGGGGGGGGGGGGGGGGGGGGGGGGGGGGGGGGGGCTAGTGCTGCAGATCCCTTCCTGCCACCCCTTGAACCTCCAAGATCCCGCCACCCCCATACCCCCCCCCCCCCACTGCTGCACCCGCAGCAGGGGGATGGAGGAGAAAGGGGGGGGGGGGGGGGCGGGGGGGGGGCTGGTGCTGCAGATCCCCTCCCCCCCACTGCTGCACCCACAGCAGGGGAATGGAGGAGAAGAGGGGGCGGGGGGGGCTGGTGCTGCAGATCCCCTCCCTCCCACTGCTGCACCCGCAGCAGGGGGATGGAAGAGAAGGGGGGGGGGCGGGGCGGGGGAGGCTGGTGCTGCAGATCCCCTCCTCGCCACCCCCTTAACCTCCAAGCTCCCCCCCCCCTCCCAACACAAGGTGCGGCAGGGAGAGAGAGAGGAGGTGGTGGGTGGCTGCTGTTGCAGAAACACTCTGCCACCCCCTAGGTCAGCCACCCCCCGGAACCGCACCCCTCTTGCCACCCCCTCACCCTCCATGATCCGCGCCCCCAACTCCCTTCCCCCTCCCCCCCCACCTCCTTTTCTGCTGCACACGCAGCAGGGAGAGGGAGAACGAAGTTGGGGGGGGGCGGGTCCTCGGGCGACGAGGCAAGGGGCAACGAGGCCGCGGGCGACAGGTCCTCGGGCGACGTGGCCGCGGGAGACAGAGCCGCAGGCGACGGCGCCTTGGGCGTCGAGGCCGGGGCCTAGGGGCGACGGTGCCGACGGGCCTAGGGGCGGCGGGCGCGACGGGGCCGACGGGCATAGGGGCGTTGCGCGACGAGCGACGGGCCGGAACCGGGGCCTAGGGGCGTTGGGCGCGAGCGACGGGGCCGAGGGGCCTTGGTCAACGGGGGGGGGGGGCGCGGGGCGTAGGGCCGTGCCTAGGGGAGCGACGGGCGACGGAGCCGAGGGGCCTTGGTCAACGGGGGGGCCGCGGGGCGTAGGGCCGTGCCTAGGGGAGCGACGGGCGACGGGGCCTAGGGGTGTTGGGCCTAGGGGCTACGCGCGACGGGCTACGGGCCGGGACCGAGGCCTAGGGCCGACGGGGCCGAGGGGCGACGGGGCCGGGGCCTAGGGGCGACGGGCACAAGCGACGGGCCGGGGCCTAATGTCGAGAGAAGGGCCACACAAGGGTGGCGCGTAGGGCAGCAGGTGGTGGGCCCAAAGAGAGTAGGTCCTCAGGTTAGAACCATCTCTTAATACCATGTTAGAATAGTATGAGCCATAGCTAGGGTGTGAGCTAGGCAAGTGTCGAGAGTAAAAAGTGAGAGAGGAAAAAAATGTTTCACAAAGAGAAGAAGGTACAAGATAAGGGAGCGAGAGATGGCAAAAGGTGCACCACCTACAGGGACTATAACAGTAACTACACTACAGCTATAACTATATGCAGTTATACAGCAATATATATAAAATATATTCTGACAACACCCCTTTCGCCTCGTCATAGGATGACGAAATGGTCCCGTTATGCTTTTACCGCTAAGGAGAAACTGCACTGGCTGGCCATGTTGGAGTCACAGCCAGACCTCAGCATCCGAGGCTTGGCGAAGCTCGCCAACGTGCAGCCTAAGCAAATCCGCGAGCGGAGGCGACTCAAGGAGCGTCTCGAGGTCGCCGCTAGTTGTCGCGGACGTCTTAACGGTGGAGGGCGTAGGGCGAAGTGGCCCCTGATGAAGAGGGCGGTTTACCGCCAATTCTTGGCGCACCGTGCCAAAGGATTGGCGGTGTCGGTGAGCCTCTTGTGCAAATGGGCATCTCAGTACATGAAGCACCGTCAGCCTACCGCCAATTTTCGAGCATCGGCACGTTGGACCTTTCGCTACCGCGTGCGGTGGTCCTTGGTGCAGTGCGTGAAGACAAAGATGGTGCAGAAACTAGCCCCCGGTAAGCAATCTGCATGTCATCCCCCCCTGCCGTAACAGTGTAGGTAAAATATGTATCTAACGCATGTGTCGTATTGTGTGTTTAACAGATTGCAAGGGGAAGGTGGAGTCCTTCTGGGAGTTCATCCGCTAGATGCGCATGGTTCATCGGTTTCCCCTAAACCTCATCGTGAACGCTGACCAGACCCTGCTCTGGTTGGAGATGCTAGCGGAACGCACCCTCGAAATGAAAGGCGCCCGCACGGTACATGTCAGGACGGCGGGCTACGAGAAGGAGTGCGTCACTGCCATGTTGGCAGTGACGGCTGACTGCATGAAGCTTCCCCCGTACGTCATCTTCAAGCGGAAGACGGTGCCACGTATCGTGGTGCCACCAGGTGAGCCGGATGTCTTGCTGTCGTTGATTCCGTGTGTTGATGATGTTTTTCCGTTACTGCTTTACGGATGTGGCGTGTGCAGGTATTGTCATCCGCGCCCAAGAGAAGGGCTGGATGGACGAGCGCCTTGTCCAGGATTGGACAACACAGGTGCTCATCCCCTTCTTGAATCCGCTGCGGGACGAGGGCGGACGGCGCAAGCAAGCGCTCCTTGTCTTCGACTCGTACAAGGGGCACCTGACGGAATCCGTGGGGCAAACACTGAAGATGTTTAAGGTGACACGTGCCGTCATCCCGGGCGGTTGCACCCCCCTGGTGCAACCGCTTGACGTCTCCATCAACCGCAGTTTCAAGTGCGGTGTGCGCCACCGCTATAGCACGTGGTTTGAGGAGGTCGAGACTGGCCAAATGACACGTGCAGGTGAGTCCTTGCCGCTTTGTGTGCTTTCAGCTGACAAGGCAGCATTAAATCCACTGCCGTAACATCTCTACCGTTCATTCTTCTCGTGAACTGCAGGGAACTTGAAGAAGCCCCCCCCTGAAGTGATCCTGAAATGGATCGTCGAGTCATGGGCTGATGTGCCAGAGGAGCTGGTGAAGAAATCATTCCTCACCTGCGGCATCTCTAGTGCAGAAGACGGGAGCGAGGATCATCCGATCCTCGCTCACCTGCGGGACAAGGCGGAAGTGGAGGTGCTGGAGGATGTGCTGGAGGAGGAGGAGGACGGTGCGCACCCCAACCCGTTCTACGAAGACCCCTCGCACGCCCCTGAGCCCCCCGCCACCAAGGACGACGAGGCAGGGGACGAGGAGGAAGGGCTTGCAGGGGAGGAGGACGTGGTGGATGCCACTGCCGAGGAAGGGGATGGGATGGCTCCGGACGAGGAGGGGGGTGAGGCAGATGCAGAGATGGGAGGTGTGGATGAGTGGAGTGAGGATGGAGATGACTAGTGGGCAGTAGGCCGCTATGAGGGAGAGGAAGTGGATGAGTGGGTTGCGGGCGAGGATGACTGACTATTTTGATGTGTTTCTCAACCCATGTTGCCCTTGGTGTCAAACTTGCTAACAGTGAATACATTGCATTGGTGTCATGTTTGTCTTGCTAGTGAACCACTTGAAAAGGCATCTTATTTCCATTAAAAACACGTGTCAACCACAGAGGGGGGGGGTCTAGTAATGTTTACCCCTCCAAGGGGGGGTATAGTGAAAACCTGCCAAAATATAAGACCCACCCCCGTAATACAGACCCGGGGGTCTTGTATTCCGGGGGGTCTACTATCTTGGAGCTTACGGTAGTCCCGAAGCGTAGGCCGACTTGGCCAGGCCAGCGGTGCATGGTTAGGTAAAACAGTGCGCGCGAAGTTGGCGAAGCCCCGTTAGCAGTAGCGGGCGAACAACGGCTGCTGCTGTACGCATTGTGGATGGTCGCGGTAAGGAATGTCGAGAAAATTCCTAACACTAAGCAACCCTAGAACTACCGTTCATTTAAACGGGACCCGCCCTAAGTGTGACCGGCAAGGACAGACGCCCTTAGTGAGTCTATTTTTGAGTCGACTCAAAAATAGACTCACAACGTAAGGCGATAAGGCACATCACACCACATCACTCGCCTGACCAGGAAGCCATGACTTCCGCTCTCCGCTCATCCGCGCGTCACCTGCGCTCCGCCCTCACCACCACCGCCTCCGCATTCGCCGCCGGCCCCGCACTCCCCCGCGCGCCGTGCATCGCCGGCTCTCTCGAGTCTGCCGCGTCGCTGCCGCGCGTTCCCCAAAACCCCGCACGGTCCTTCTCCCTTGCGCCCCCTTCTCACGCGTCGCCGCCTCTGCCAGCATCGCCAGCAGCATCAGACCTCCCCGCTCGCTTTCAACTCGCGTCATGCGCGCCGCGCTTGTCGATATCGGCGCAAGGCGCGCCGACCGTTGATCGGATCGCAGGCGCAGGCAGATCAGCTCCGCAGGTCTCCCAGCCGTCGATCTCCCGATCATCCCTGCCACGAAGCTTCGGCACGTTTTCGGCCCAGAGGCAGCGACTCAGCACCCTCGCCGCGTTCCCGCGTGCGCTTGCCGCCGGTCCCGTGCCCTCCCCCGCCTCCGCTGCGCCGTCGCTGCGCGCGCACGACGCAGTGGTTGCGGCGCGGGCGGCGGGCGCGGGGCAGGCGAGGGGCGTGTTCGTTGAGGTGAAGAAGGGCGACGTGGATCGCGCAATCAAGAAGTGAGTGGCGGGGAAGGAGGGACGGGCAAGGGTAGGCATGAAGAATCGAGTTAGTGAGGCATGGGGAAGTGAGAGATGCATTCAGAAGTGAGAGAGGCGTTTAAAAGCGAGACACGCATGAAGGAGTGAGTGATTCAGCAAGATGTGTGAGTCAGCAAGAATGAAACCACCGCGCACGCTTGGGAACAGCCTTGGGAACGTCTTTTCATTCAAACACACATCGTGCTAGACTGCACCCAACCGCACTCGACCTCACCGTACTGCGCTAGACCGCACCCACCCTTCACCCGTACCTGCGGTCTCTCACATGCCTCCTGCCATAGGTGTTCCTCGCAGCGGCTGGCAGCCGCAGTTGCCTCTCCTTCCTGACCACAACCTAGGTTTCACCTCTAGTTGTTCCTACCTAGTGTCCCTAGGCTACTCCTTCTGGCCCCGTTCGTTACTCGCTTCGCTGGTTTCTAGCTTGCTGGTTCAAGGTCATGGTGAGGGCGGTCAACGCCATACGTGTGGCATGGCAAGGGCAACACTCTCATCTCATCCCCTTGTCGCCCTCCCCGTTTTTCCTCCCCTTCCCTCTCTGCCCGTTTCTCAACCCCTCCCCTTGGCAGGTTCAAGATAAAGCTGAGGGCAAGGGCAAACCTTTTTCCCCTTGTCCTTTTCCCCCCTCCTCTCCCCCTTCTTTACAGATTCTAGATCAAGCTCCGGAGGGGCGGAGCTGAGCTGAAGCGCCTGCCCGCCCGCCAAGGAGGCGGAAATTACTCTCATTTTCTGGTCGCTTCACTCCCCTCTTCCCTTTTAACAGGTTCAATATCAATCTCAGGACGGACGATGCGAGAAGGGTGGCTCGGGCGAGGTCGCATTTCTGGAAGGGCGCAGAGCTGAAGCGCCTGCCCCCCCCCCCTCTCCCCCGCCGCGGCCACCCCCTCTTTGCAGGTTCAAGATAAAGTTACGAGCGGACAATGCTATTCGTGTGGCTCGCGCGCGATCGCACCACTGGAAGGGCGCGGAGCTGAAGCGGCTGCGCGCCAAGGAGGCGGAGATCAGGCGGCAGCAGCAAGACTTCCGCCAGAAGCTCGCCTGGATCATGGCCAAACGCGCCAGGTGCGTGGCATGTGATGCTAGGTGCGTGGCATGTGATGCTAGGTGGGTGGGATGTGATGCTAGGTGGGTGGGATGTGATGCTAGGTGGGTGGGATCTTGGCCAGGCGTTCAAGGTACGGTGGGATGAGGAGGGATGTGGCCAAGCTTCCAGGTGGGGTAGGGTGGTAAAGAGAGAGTGCAGCAGTGAGCATGGATGCATGGGGAAGGAGGGTCATGGCTCTTTGCGGGTGGGATCATGGGCTCATGCTTGGAGTGGTATGGGCAGTCCCTCCAGGTATGGGCAGTCCCTCCAGGTATGGGCAGTCCCTCCAGGTATGGGCAGTCCCTCCAGGTATGGGCAGTCCCTCCAGGTATGGGCAATCTCTGCAGGTATGGGCAATCATTGCAGGCATGGGCAAGCGAGTGGGATGATGGGATGTGGGGTGATGCATGGGATGGGTGAGCTGTGCACGTGGGATGTGGGGCAATGGGGAGAGAATGTACCTCTGACGTTATACAAAGACGAACGCTTTTTGCCATCTGAATGAGTGATTTTTATCAGGAGTATCGTGTCTTTGACTGAAGCACACAACTTTTTTCGCATCAGCTTGTTCTGTTGTTTGGTCTCACTTAACCTCCATATGTGACCCATCCTTCGTTCTGTGTGTGCCCAACGGCTGCCTTTTACAAAATCTCTTTCCATGTTTTCACCGCGACCGAAACCAGTACTTTCATACAATACACAATTTGCCTTGCATTCCCCAACCTTTTTTATGTTGTGCCCTGAACCTTCTTTTGACGTTGTGCAGGGGATTCTGATGCAAAGGTTACAAAATGTTTCGCACTGCCCTTAACTACTGGCCACAGTATCTGGCCAAAGGCACAAAAAGTCTAGGATTGTCGAAAATTGTTCCCAAGTGGTCAACGATACTTCTCCCGTCGATGTGAGGAAGTCTCGAAGATCACATTCACATGGCAACCCGGTTTTGGTTTTGGGCCTGGGCTCTAAGAGATCTACTTAGCGACGCAAAGGTGTGCCACTCTCGTGTGCCTTTCACATTGAAATGTCTGGAGTTAAGCACCCATAAATGTCTGATTGCATGTCATCACTTCATTTCGGGGTGATTGACCAACAGCATGACCTGATTACTCTGAAATTACAGGGTTCCCATCACAAACTTCCTGAATCTCAGGGAAGGGGAGGTAGCATAGAGTCACCCTGATATCAGGGTGATGCTATGCAACCCTGAAATTACAGGCCCCATCACAAACATCCTGACTTGGAGCGCAGACTGGTATCCTCAATCAGCAGGTGCATGAATCTCCTCCGGCGATTCACAATCCTCACGGCATCTGTGGCGGTCGCAATCCCCATCTCGTCATTTGTGAATGCCGGCACGGGACCAATTAGGCAGTAGGCCAGGATGGCAGCTGAAAGCAATTCAAGACCAGCCCAACCCAGCAAACAGGGAAACGCTGAAACACAAGACAGTGGAAAGAGGCTCCAGTAGATGAAACATGAACACCCTCCTGTTGGAAGCTACGCAACATGTTGAGTGAAATACCAACATGAACAGAAGGAAACAGGATATGAGCAGCACCATTGTACACTTCGAACTGTACATCATACGGTACCCAGTTCATGAATGGCGAGTCGATTTGCAATGCGGTTCCGCAGCAGCGCCTGGATGAGCGCCAGCAGCGAGTCCACCACACCCAGCTGCACCGCACCCAACCGCTCTGCCAGCAACGTAGCCGTGGCTCCCCGTGCCCACCCTCCCTACACGCCACCTCCTCTCCCACACTCGGAGGAATAATAGGTTCAGGGAGGGCTAAGAGGAAGGAGACAAGCGCACCCGCCATGGTGAGGGGGGAGGTTTCGGTTGGGAAGAGTGTGCCGGTGTCGAGTGCGAGACGGATGGGTGTGATCTGGAGCTCTTGATTTACTGCCCCCAGTGCTGCTGGCCACTAGGAACTGAGTCGACCCCAGCCCGTCCCCTTCCCCTGCTCCTCCTGCCCCTGCTCCTCCTCCTCCTCCTCCGCCTCCTGCTGTTGTGGCTCCTCCTGCTGTGAGGTCTGCTGCGGCTGCTCTCACCGCCCCTGCTGCAGCATCTGTGAAGATTCACTCTACAAGGTAGTGAGCTAGACTACCGAGGGGGGGGGGGGGGGGGGGGGGGGGGTTGGCACGAACTACTAGGAGTGATAATAACTTTGCTTAGTTCCTTAGCGCTTGTGCATTCACGGGAGAGATCGGCAAGAGTTTCACTAGGCAAAGATTGCATTGCAGAATGATTGAACAAGCAATGACAGAAATGACTACATCAGGCACCTAGCAACTCTGCAGCTAGCCTGGACGACCGCCAGCACTGCATGGTCGACTGCCTGCCAGCATTGCGTAGAGGAGCCACACCAGCACTGTAGAAAGGCGACCTGCCATCGCAGCAGGTCGACGGCGTGCCAACGCTGCAGCAAAGCAGCTGTCCAGCGTTGCCCCGCAGAAGACAGCAGTGCGCACGCTCGCAGGTGCGCGCAGATGATTGGCCCGACTTGCATCGTTGTGCATCCATCGACTGTTGTCTGCGCCTGACAAGCCACATCGACTTCGGGATACCAGTCCGAAGTCGCCTTCATCACCGCGACCTCGACGATGTTCGCGTGCCTCCGCAGAACTTGCTGAGCGGGTTACCTGGTCGACCTGGTCGACCTCTAAGTGCTCTGGTCGGCCACCAAGTGCCTCTGGTCGACCACCAAGTGCCTCTGGCCGACCACAGCTCTCGTCGAGAAACACCCTGGTCGACGGACACCTCTGTCGACCAGCACTGTCAGCTGCTGTCGCCGAGCCCCCCTTGTCGACTGCAGCTCACATGTCAGATCGACGGACTGCTCCGTCGGCCTCTCTGTCGAACTGCTCCTCCTGGTCGACGGCCCACCCGTCGACGAGCCCAGTCAGCTGCAGCTGCCGAGCTCCCTGGTCGACGGCTCTAGCCCCGTGACAGGTCTGTGCAGGTCGACGACCACTTCGACGTCCTGCCTCGCAGAAGAAGGCCGCCAAACTCCCTGGTCGACGGCAACACCACAGTGATTCCCCGCAGCTCGACGAAGCCTGTCGAGCAGCTCCCTCACTGTGAACAGTCGGCTGCTTCTCCCGTACATCCAGCCAAGTCGTCGGCGTTGGCCAAGCGAGGGCGGGGCCAACATTACATTCTCGTTAAGACTCCCCTGTCGCACTCACGCTTGGGCCCCCTGCCCACACGGCAGTACTCCACGGAGAAAACTCGTCCTCGACGTGGACCCCACACACACCACGCCGTCACCGCACCAGCCGTGCAGAAGGGCACGGCACCTACTGCTGCACCTCGTCGTCACTGTCGCTGACGTCGGCCAGGCGCACTTGGCCGATGGCGACAGAGCACCAGTTGAAAGCTGGAAAATGCAGTGCCTTCGTCAAGAAATCGGCCAGCTGCTCGGTGGTCAGGATGTACTTCAGCACGAACTTCCCGCGCCTCACCTTGTGCTGCAGCCAGGCATAACGTTGCTCCATGTGCTTGAGGTTGCCCGTCAGCCCCAAGCCCTCAGCGACCGTGATGGCCGACTTGTTGTCCACGCGGAGGGTGGTCGGCTTCCTAGCGTCGAGCAGCTTGAATTTTGCAAGAAGGAAGCGAAGTCGACGCCCTTCCTTGCCTGCGTCCGTGACTGCGACGTACTCTGACTCGGTCGAGGAGAGCGTCGCGCACTTGATGCGCTGACTCGACCAGGAGACCACCGCCTCTCCGAAGACGAACACGGAGCCGCCCGTGCTCGTCCGGTTCTGCTTGTCGCCCGCGTCGTTGGTGTCCACGTAGCCGACCAGCTCCAGGGACTGTGGTGGTGTCGCGGGTGTCGGCAAGGTAGACGAGGCAGCAGTCGACCTCGCGCCAGTGCTGGTCGCTCCTCACCGTGAGGCCGCTCCCCAACTTGCTGCAGGCGAAGGCGATGTCCGGCCTCGTCGTCGTCGCTGCAAACTGCAGCGAGCCAACCTTCTGCCGGTACTCCTCCTCCTCCTCGCGCTCCTGCGCCTCCTCGTCGTCGAATGTCAGCTCGGCGTAGGCGTCGACCGAGACCAGCGTCTTCAGGATGCGCCCGGTCTGCTCCTCGTCGATGAAGTGTCAAAATATATTTCTGTATAACTGCATGTAGTTCTAGCTGTAGTGTAGCATATATTGCTGTTCTGCTTGTGGTGCACCCCTCCTTACTTGTCTCTTGTATAACTTGGGCCTTTGGCCCTTTAGTGAAGCATTCTTTCTCGACAATTTTCTCCTTGTCCAACCCTCTCGACACTCAACCCTAGCATGGTTCCTAAGGATACTCATACACCCTCCTAGCTACTATTCGAACATGGTATCAGAGCGGTTACGACCCAATGGGCCCACCATATTTTAGTCCTCGCATGGCGTCCGCCTTGCTGGCGCCCGACGTTTTCTTTCTGCCTGTCGCACGCCCCGGGTGTGCGTCGGTTTCTGCCCGTCGCACGCCCCGGGCGTGTGGCGGTTTCTGCCCGTCCCACGCCCCGGGCGTGCGTCGGTTTCTGCCCGTTGCACGCCCCGGGCGTGTGGCGGTTTCTGCCCGTTGCACGCCCCGGGCGTGCGTCGGTTTCTGCCCGTCGCGCGCCCCCAGCACGCGACGGTGTTCTGCCCATCGCTCGCCCCCAGCGTGCGACGGTTTTCTGCCCGTCGCGCGGGGGCCCCGCTGCCCTACTTCCTGTCGTCCCTGCCGCCCACTTCCTTCTCCCTCTCCTACTTCGCGTGCAGCAGTTTGGGCAGGGGGAGGCGGGGGGAAGGGTGTTGGGGGGACGCAGGAGTGGTGTTGGGGGGGAATTGCACCTCCAGCGCCCCGCTGCTCTGCTTCGTCACCAAGCCAGCAGCCCCCCCCCCCCCCCCCCCCCCCATTCTTCTCCATCCCCCTGCTGCCCGTGCAGCAGTGGGGGGAGGGTATGGGGGTGGTGGGTGTGGCGTACGAATTCCCCTGCTGCGGGTGCACGGGTG